CTTGACGATTTCTAAGAAAATATTCGGTCTTACTTTCTACATCAAGAAGTTAAGACATTCTGGTATAACCCAACCCTTACTCCTACAATTCGTTAACTCTCGCATTCTGCCTATTATTCTCTATCGTTCTCCCTTAGTTTTTCCAGGGCTACTGAAGAAAGACTATAACATATTACGTAGGATGTTAAAGGTTGTCAGCAGGGTAAGCAACGTGCCACTTAACCAGCTTGTTAATATTCTGGTTGACAGGCACATGGACTCCTGTGAGAAATGGGCCAAATCCATTTTATCTAACTCACACCACCCTCTTCACTTACAACTCTCCCCTTGCACCTCATCTGGCAAAACCAGAAGCCTATATAGAAAACTATATGCTCACACTAGCAAGTACAAAAACTCAACCATACCCTACTTAGCTCGTGTTCTGTGCGATAAAGAAAGCATTGGGCGTGATACCTATAACTTATTAAATAGTCAGTAGAACAACTGGATCTCGTCTTTACAACTCATATCATTTATAGGTACAACGTTTTCTTCCTTTCTTCTCCTTTTTTTCTCTCTCTTCTTTCTCTGTTATGTGCTGCTTTGTTTCTTTCTTCCGCTTACGCCAGTAAATGTGACAGCACCTACTTTTCTAACACCTTCAAACACTATTCAACTTTGGCTTTGCTACCGACATGCCAATATGTTGTTGTCATAATGAACTGAGATTTCCTTAATCTATGTAGAATTCTATTTATTGATAATGTACTAACTGGATGCAATACTGTAGTAAAATGCTGAGAATTCCATTCTGTATCACAAGTACTGTTTTGGAATAAAGCAAATTATATATATATATATATATATATATATATATGACTGTTGTGCATCGGTGGTAGATTATTCGCCAACCATACATGGGGTTCAATTCCCGGCCAACGCACTCCTAATCCCCGCGAAGTCGGTAGTTTTCTTTTTACTCCTTTACCATCCCGGTGGAACATAGGGGTTTAAGCTAGAGGCTTGAAGTGGTGATTATCTTAACAGGATGGGGTTGCTAGCCTCATGCCCAGCCCAAATTCCCCTCATTACCAGTCTTGTTACTGGCTTAGCGAGTGCGTCCTAACCTTGGCTCGAGTCAGAAGAGCAAAATTACACAACCGGCTGGTGAAAGCTTTCGCAAAGCCAGTCACCAAGCCGACGTATCTTCTCTCTCGATGAAAGCAAGAATAAGAATAGGAACGTTGAGTGTACCAAATGTACGAGACTGGTTGGGAAGCCTGCACACGTAGCCAAATAAATGCAAAGATACGGCATAGAAGTGCTCGGTATCTCCGACACCAGATGGAATGGATTATCAAAATTGTCTACTGTTGAGCCAGACGTCTACTACGATCCGGTCACTCACGCGACAACCACCAGCACACTGAGCCAGTGATTGGCTATCATGATGTGACCAACAGCAGCCAAGGACCTAATGTAGTGGGGACTTATCTCCTCCTGCATGATTCAACTGGAAAGCAAGGCGACAAATATCCACTACTATTCACTTACAATGCTACAAACAACGCGGAACAAGAGAAGAAGAAAGATTTCTATAGACATCTACTAACAGTAATGGTCAACATCCCAAATGGCGATATCAAATCCTCATGGGCAATGTGAATGACTGCTGACTGGGAGCAGATAATACAGGGAGAGAATTCAACATGAGTCGAGAGCCTCCCGTTCGGTGAAATGAATGCGAACGAAGAATTATTCAAAGACTTCTGCACTTTTAGTCATTGGCTAATCAGAGGCAACCTGTACAAGCACAAAGTTATACACAAGGCCAGTAACATGGATTTCACCTGATAGACACACCACAATCCAGATAAATTCCATCTCAGTACTGCTCAAGGAAGTGGAGAGGTAGCCTACCTGATGAACACAAACACGAGAAAGGGAGGAGATGCGGGCTCAGACCACCACATCATCTAGTTCATCGAACCTTTAATGTGAAGCAGAAATCTCTCAAAACAACTGGAGACTGGACACTGCAATTCAGTTCAGTTCAACATTCACAAACTGAAGGACACAACCACAAACGATACCCACCTTCACTACAGATCATATCAGAGCAAAGTCGAAGACACCACGTGGAACCACTGAGGAAACCTGTGTGAGTGGAAGAACATTGGAACTAGCTCCCTGAAGATGATGTCCAAGGAAACGTGTACAACTGTTCTAGCAATAGAGAAGAGACAAGACAAGGAATGAACACGTACCTGGAAGTTAATAGAAGAGAGGAGAGGAGGGTGGCGAAAGAGAAAGTGACTCAATGCAAAGATGGACAAGATAACAGAAGGAGAAGCTGAGTTCACAGCAGTGTACAATGCACAGAATAAGGAAAGAAGTGAAGAGGAGTGCTAGGAAAGACAAAAGACAATTCTACGACACACTGGCCGGAAACTGAAGCAAAACAGGCAGTTCGCAGGTAAGAGCGATCTCAGGAAATAAGTTCACATAACCAGGCTGCTGTCTATCAGGGAAGAGATCAACCCACATGATGAAACCAATAAAAGATGTTCAAGGGAACCTGACTACCAAGGAGGAGAAACAAATAAAACAATCGGCTGATCACTTTGAAGGACTCTTGAATCGACCATTACCTGCAACTCGCTCACAAATACCATCACTACCAACATCAACAACATTCACAGAACTATCTGCCAGCGAACACATCGTTCAACCAACGAAAGCAGAAGTCCTGAATGCGATCAAGCTACTGGACATTGGCCAGGAAAGGAACAGGGCTGGACGGAATTCCTCCACCCCAAAGCATTGAAAATGGAGTCAAAGATTGTGGCAGATGCGTTCATGCCATTATTGTCAAAGGTTTTGAAGGAAGGAAAGATGCCCATCAACCGGAAGAAAGGCTGGCTACCTCGTCAAGCTGTCAAAGAAGGGCGAATTAATTACGCCTCACTTTGCAAGAACTGGAGTGGAATCATGCTCTCGTCCACCCACATCAAGTAAAGTACTAAGTCGCATCATCCTGGAGAGAATAAGGAGTGCACTGAATGCAGAACTCCATCAGACTCACCGGAACAAGCTGTATTCAGGAAAGGCAAATCATATGCTGACCAAATTGCAATAATCATAGACCCAGATGAAGAGGACGGCGAAAATTAGTACAAAAAGGGGTGATTTGTTGTTGAAGCCTTATGTTCCACTCGCAACGCAAGGGAATTCTAATATAATTGTTATCAATTAGTGATACCATCTTGATCTATACAAGGTATAGTTCTTGCTTTAATCAAAACAAAAATCAACTAGATCGTTGGTATAATAGTCAGAAAGTCGTGGACCTGTGTTTCGTGGTTGCTGGCACTCATCAACAAAGATTATCTGCAATCTAGAAGGGACTCAGGTGCCCTTGGAGACTCGAATCATCTTACCTTGGTTATTATACCTAAAAGCTGACGTGATAATGAATCTTAGCCTTGGCCTACCAGTGTATCACGCCTATCCGATCTCAAATATTTCTCGAAAACGATAAAGAAAGAAAGAAACCAACAAACAAAAAAAACTAACTTAATCACAAAATTTTTATTTATTTAATTATTCAAAAAGTTGAGATTTTAAGGAATCAGAAAAAGCATTGGATGACAATTTCACTAATCATCAGATCACTTATCCGACAACTTTCACCACCTCTGTTTCTCGCTCTCTCTCCTCCTGGCCTGGTCCGCCCACTCCTTGCAATTACACACTCCATTCACACTGATTGCTTGATTATATCTATCCCCCCCTCAGCTAGCTTTGGTTATGATCGTTGTTAGAATGAAGAGAGGCCGAAGAGGATTTCACACACACACAAAGCTGTTTGTCTCAATTTTCCCTTTCTTTTAAAAAAATATATAAAACTAAACACATTAAGGCGCAGACACAAAAGCATGGAAAAGTGGGAGAGAATGCAACACAAGTACATACATACATAGATGTATAATTTTCTCAGGAAGGATAAGACAGAAAATATAAAGCGTTCTAATAATAATAATAAAGAAGAAGAACTGTCCATCTCCCATGTTGTCCTTGCTGTACAAACACACACAATAATACACAAACGTATATAACGACTTCTCCTACGGAATGCTACCTACACGTAGATATACACACAAATATATACATGTACAAATTTTATCAGAATACAGCTACTTTTTGCAGAAACAAAAGTCCACTGAAATAGATAAGAATGAATAATAATAATACTAATAATAATAATATCTAATACGACTGAATGTGAGTGATACGTGAATCTCTTTCTCTCTCTCTCTCTCATACGCGCTAATCGATGTGTATACAGCGTGTGATGCTACTACAGCGCATATATAGATAGGTGTCATTCAAAAGCTGGACACACCACCTGGTGACAGTATACTAGTATCAGTATTTGTCTTTTTAAACAGACATAGCCTGGTTCCACGAGAGAGAGAGATAGAAACGAAAACATCTATTTCTCTCTGTATTCTGCATCATTCAAAATTCCATCAGTAAAAAGTGGTGGTGAGCAATAAATTTAAATGTGATGATACGATTTTAAAAAGGAGAGAGAGAAGAAAACGAAGAGTCAGGCAGATTGTGAGGGGAACAAAAATGCAAAAATGTTCACTTTCGTCATAATGCGGGGGCAAAAAAGACTGGTGCCTAACCATCATCACTACAGGAACTAGCAAGGTAATGCACAATTATAATATATAGAGGAGTGAAGTGTACAGAAGCGGTGAAATTTTACAATGCAGCGAGAGAGAGAGAGAGAGGTATCAATAATAACAGAACATAGAGGATTACTCTTTTCCGTTGACAAGACGATAGTAACAACAACAGCAGCAACAAGTACACTATAAGAATTTCAGAAATGAAACTATATAAAATAGAATTAATTGACTAATAATTAATACAGATATGAATTGGTAATTTGGCATGTCATGGAAATATATGCTAGAGGCACTCGTGTATATATATATATATATTCGGGTGTACGCGAAGAGTGTCTAAGCCAAACCCTAATTACTTTACATCAATTGTGAATAACACGAGTATATAATGAACATACACTAGGAAGAGGAATAAATAAATAAATAAACTTAGTAAAAATCTCTAGTTCTTAGGTTTGTCTAAGTTGTGACATCAAGACTTAACTCGACAATACAACTTGGGGGAAAAAACAGAGGACGATAAGATGGAGCGAAGCATGTTGTTATGAAGGCATTGCAATAACACTATAAATACAAAGTAGAGTTAGTTAAGAGATTTCATCAGAGATGTTAGTTAATCCATCCTATATATAATATGAATAAATAGAGAGAGAGAGAGACAGAGAGAGGTGGGGTGGGGGTGGCAAAGAAAGACAGACAGTTCAGTGACTACTTTTTATACGAAGACAATAACTTTTCACACAAAAAGTTGTCAGCAGGAAGGAATTCAAAAGTGTCCAACACACATTTCAAACATGGATCATCATCAAGTACCTATTGACCAGTTTAAACTCAGTGAAACAGGAAATGATCCAACTGACGAAGAATCCGTAGTATCCATTAATTCCACTAAACCAGAATCATCGAATGATCCGAAAAGTGTATCGGTCAACTCTGTAGCCGGTGTATACGACGTTTGTGACACTGAATCCGAGTTTATTGAGCATACACTAAGCAGCTCAGAGTAGTGTGAGAGGCTATCCTGCTTATTAGTTGAAGCAGGAGTAGGAGGAGTATTCTTTGGCAGATCAAAACTTCCATTTGAAATATTTGCAACACTACTACCACCAGCCGCCGCCGGCGGCGCCGCGAGACCACACCAGACAGGAGGATGTGAGTGTGATGAAGAATTCAACTCGCCATTCAGGCTGTTCGATACACTTGCATTGGAATGATGAGCGGACTTTTGGGAGTAGAATGCTGGATGTAGTAAAAAATTTTGATTTGATGGAATTGAAGAAGACAAGTTATTCGCCTGTTGATGCTAAAATATAAAACAAAATGTAAAAAAGGCGAAAGTACAAACGAATCAAATCGGTTATGGCCATGCGTATTAAGGTTATATATATTGTAACGCTAGAGGACAAAAGACTTGGGTAAAGGAATGTTTATGTGCAATTCGGTCTCTCTATTTTAGCCAAATTATGTACACCTTACCTTCAATGCACCATTTGCACGAATCTTCCGTGTTGTGCTCTACTTCTGGTCTTCCTTCTTATTATGCTTTTTTGTATTCTTTACACGTCTCCCAAATATATCTCCGCAAAGCCGTTTCATTTGCTTTCTCAGACATCAAATCTATCTCCCTGTCATTTTGTGTTTTATGCCGATTAACATATCTTTGTATTTATTGATATAAGAATAAAAATTGTGCACTCTGGTAGAGTGTAATTCCATTATGGGTAAAATTTGTTTTCATATAGTCTGACAGTGTTATACAGTAATGTTTACTGATGACGTTTCGAGCACAATTTATTACCACTCATAATCACATCAAGGTAATCACACGACCTCCTAAATTCATTTATATAGTTCCGTTGTTTTTCATTTGATTTGATTGGTAGTAATATTTTCCATATTTCGGGTATGAGTGATGAATCATTCCTATTGCATGTGTTGGGTGTAGATTCGATGAACAAGGATTCAGTAATCAACCTCTCTCTGTCTCCACCTACCTAGATTACTTTTTAGAATTTTAACCCTCTCCCACCATGCTATTGTGTGGTTGTGTGTTAATGCATGCATTGCAATTGCCGAGCTTTTTTCTAAATTACTTATCTTCTCGGGTGGGGTCAACCATTCTTACCTTAGCTAAATTCTTATGTTATGACAATCTGACTACCCCTGACCTACTAGTTTGACCTATGTAGTTGACCTGGCTCACAGTCATTGCAGGATATTTGGTAAATTATATTATTTTGTCTAATTGGGTCAACCGACAGGTTCCTTTAACCTACAGAGCTTGTCCTACCTGAGTGAGTTTGTAGGTTTAAATGCCACCCTAATTCCTGCTTTATTTAGAATCCTACGTAGGGTCTCAGATGTCCCCTCTTTATATGGTATAACTGTCGATGACTTATATTCTCTCTTATTTATGTTATCATTGCTAGTTTCACAATTCTTTTTATTTTTCTTTTGGCCTTTTTCAATCTTCCTAATGAATTTTAAAGGATAGTTATTTAAAACCAACGCCTCTTCTGTCTTATCTCATCATTTAGGTCTTTTCTTGTACTACTTAGTGCTACTGTTCGGTTTGTTAAACACTTAACTAAGCTTGCCTTAACAGTTAAAGGATGAGATGAATTAAAGTCTAAATATCTATTAGAATGCTTTGTATTTAAATATATATATACTACTGACAAATCTCATCAGTAGCGCACACCACAGGACAACACCTTAGAATCTACTTACATGTTGTTTAAATAGTTAGATTTGTTCATCAACCAATATCGGCTAGAGAAACCACTGGTAACCAGGCAGAACTGGCAAGCCGTTTAGTCTAATATTTTGGGACTCTTCGGGAGTGAGTACACACGACCCTGTCAGGGGTCGGAACTCTCTCCCTCCAGGTTACGAGATCGAATTCGCTGAACATTCAGCTACTTGGCCGTGAATTCAATAACCCGTGAATTTTAACTTTACCAATTCACTATAATAGTGTTACGCTCATCGATGCCACTTAACGTTTCGATATAGTGAAAACCCCAATGGTCACGATAACTTCAGGACATACATTCACAGTAACCACTAGTAAGTTGACGACTGATATTCAGCTGTTTTGAATCACGCCTGCCCAGTGACCCCCGGTTTCCAATGGTCTATGATCAATAATAAGTATGGAAGATATGAAAATCTAAAGGTCAGACAAACCACAGTGAATAAAAAACCTGTCTTCAACCAAATGGATTTTAAAGGTGATCGAGCATACTTCAGGAAAAATTGACCGAAGACTGAAAATATCTCTAGCCAGGATTTATCCTGCAGCCAAATTGATTCCCCCGTCTTATCAAACAACAAAAACTTTGGTATAATCAAAGGTTGGTAGATACCTTTCGTATGTTAACTCTAATTGTGTATACAAATTTACGTATATCTGCGGGAGCAGTTACATTGGGAGAACAGAAAAAAAGGGTGTATCTAAGATTCTCTGAACATGTACCGAAAAGTTTGTATCCCAAGGGAACAAATGCTATTGCCAGATATCTTGTTGGCACGGGCCATGAGGTGGACAGTGTACAATCCTTCAAGATTTATAAATAGACCACATAACTCAACTCTCCTTAAATTCAACGAAGCATGCTCTATGAAACGTTTAAAACCTGACTTTTGCGCTCAGAAAGATTCAATAATAAGTTCGTCTTTGCCTTGGTGACTCAACATGCAGTCTTTTCTTCTGATTCTTCTGCCGTTGGATCGGCTCCCAATGGTTTATTGGTCTAAGAGCTCACTTTGTAACCAGAAAATCCTGGGTTAGAAACCCGGCGGATGCATAGTGATGAAGAGTCCCGAAATAGGACAAAACAACTGTATAATACTCCCACAGCTTTCCCAATGGTTGTCTAACTCATGTCAACTCATGACGAAATCCTCCAACCAATCAAACGAAAAATCATGTTGATGATCCTTGCTGCAAGTATGACACTCAACTTTGAGGTTGTAAGCAGATGAAGAGGGGCCAGCGAAACGAATGATGGCCTCTTATTATTATTATTCTGCACAAACATTTGTTGTTTTTGCTTTTTATTTAAAATTATAAAGGGGAATAAATGTATGAAGTCTGTTGTAACACTGAGATGTCGATTCGTGAAGAAACACTACACCTAACATTAGAAAATAATCCAAAATCTCTACAAATCCCATAATCTGAATAGATTTCAACAACGTGTTTCATTTATACCTCAGGAATGCGGATCAAAGGTTGAGAAGAAAATTACTGATATGGATGATATGACATTTAATAATTTCATGCGTGTGTATGTGGCTGAGTCGAATAGTCATTAATTACAGACTGCACAGTGCAATAGTGTGGTTTTTTCATAACTGTAGTATGCAGAAACTTGTAAACGATAAGTCTCTGTGCTGAACGACGAGTAAATGAAGGGATGATAGGCGGGTAGAGTGGTGGATTAATTTGTACCCAAAATATCTTACACATAAAAACCTATTGGTAATGAGAAAGACTTTCACTACTCTCAAGTATGTGTGGAGATCAACAGCACTCAGTATGAAAAATAATATGCGAATTTTCAATTCGACTGTGAAGTCAGTGCTACTATAAAGATAAAAGAGACTTGGTGCCGCGTCACAAAGGAGACTTCGAATAAACTACAGAATTCTCCATGAACAGCTGTCTTTAATCAATCATACTCAAGATCAGATGGCCTGCCAGAAAAGATCAGCAACAGAGACTTCTGGTAGCGAATCAACCCAGCAGGAACCGATTGTGCCACAAATATATCTAGGAAAATATGGAGGTGGATTGGCCATACTCTAGGTAAACAAACCATCAAGTGACATCACATGCCAGGCCATTGCTCAAGTGGGACCCAAATGCGAAGCGGCGAGTTGGTGGTCAGTGAGAAGGCGACATGGAGGAGGCGATGCGAAGAAGAGATGAGGGCATATGTGGAGCCAGCGGAAAACGTTGGTGGAGAACCGAACGCAACGGAGACGCGTAGCTGAAGCCCCATGTTCCGCTAGGAACTTAAGAAGACAATAGTAATAATGAGAAAGACTATGGGCTTCTGCTTTGGATTCTCAAAAGAGGCAATAACTCTTAACTATAGCAATGTAGAAGTAATTTCAACTATAAGCTTACTATTATTAGTAGTATTACTTGTATCCTCCAAACTTCTATTACCACTGACTTCTGCTTATCAAAATCATGCTTCTTCTGGCAAACCTCTTGTAGTATACCCCGATAGAAAGTGTAGTGAACACTGGCACGTTATAGTATCTAACACACTTTACGTGCAAACTAGCATATTATTCAAAACAATAGCAATAATAATAATAATAATAATAAATGGTAATATCGAAGACAACATAAAAGTAAATTCATCACTCACCTTTACAACAGGTATATACAAATTGTTCGACGACTGAACTGACATATGAACCCCGTTTGCTGTTGAATAATCCCGTCCACAGTGAACTGTAACCATACTAGGACTAACGGAAACTGTGGATAAAGAACCATATTTCTCTGTACCACAACAGTGACCAGTAGAATTCCTCACTGTATGACAAAGATCCTCTGTAAAATTCACTATATCACTGTTCTGTAAAGATTTATCTATTAAATAGTGAAGAAAATAGTAATTGTGTAAGCATGATTTAAATACATTTTTTTTCGGAAAAAGCGCGCGCGCGCGCACACACACACGCACACAGTGATGAAAGCGTCCTACATCACTTACAATAAACGAGTGTTAATGATGCGAAATACACATTAAACCTGTTAACCTTCCTATTTATTACCTGCTGAATTTCTTATTAAAACACAAATACTATACAATAGCCAATGTCTCGTATAAGAAACTGTGAGCCTTAATATTATTGATAGAGAGAAAAGAACACAAAAGTTCAGAACGGATATACTCCCTATGAATTCATCCTCAAAAGCAGTACAATCTGACTCTCAACAACCAATCCGCATAGTTATATAATTACTATTGAATTCATTATAGTAACGACAACAGATTATAGGAGATGGTAATCACACACCTTAGACGCTGCTACTTCTACGGCTGTTTTTAGAAGGAGAACAAAAATCAACCTGAGATACTTTGTTGCTACACCACGATGCTTATTAGCATACTATCTGTCTGTCTGTCTGGATTCAACGTAGAACTTGGCACCGAAGTGCACCAGTTCGAGTTGCCACGTTCCAAAGAGCACACAAAGGTAGACAAGAAAATGAGTGAAGAGAATCAATAGAGTTTTGACAAGTATAAGAGTGAAACAGAATGAGTAATATGAAAGATTACAGAGTGTGAATACACCTGCGCCATTGACAACGATTTTGGACCATGTCACCTATTGTCTCCAGCCATTGATTCTTAGAGTCCCGGGGGCCCCAAACCCGAAGTCTCCTTCTCTGTACCTGACTCGGTTTAACTGTCAAGGATTTCATGGATTGATGCTGGGTTGATGTTTTTGTTTGGCCACCACTTACTCTTTTCCAACCTGCACCTATATCAGCTAGTAATGCCAGTTGGGGGAGGCGATGGCTAGGCATGCGCAGCACGTGACCTAGCCATCTCAATCTATGTAACTTTATAGCCTCTTCGATTGATTTTCCCTCTTTGCCCAACACTCTACGCCTAACGTCAACATTACTTACCTTATTATACCACCTAACGTGAGAAAGAGATCGTAGACGTCTATGATCAAAAACAGTCAACCTTTTCGTGTCATCGACTCGTATTGACCATGTTTCAGAGCCATAAAGTCTAAGAGTGAAAATTCTCTAGCCATCCATTGCTTTTAAGTGGTCTAAAGGACTTCTTTATACTGCAGAAGACCACGCCATATGCATCGAGAAGCTGGAGCTATGTGTTCACAAAAAGAAACTAGTTCAATGTTTACGTCTACCATGATTCTAGTTCAGTTCCTTGGTTGTTGATTTCTTCATTCCCTTCACTTTCTTTTCATTTCCAGTTATAAAAACTATCTCGTTCACACCTGTTCTCGTCAATAAAAAAACTTTCCCATATTACGTAGCTATTTTCCTGAAACTATATTATTATCTTCCTACGCTCCTTGTGATCAATATTCATACTTTCAAAATTTTAAATCAAGTTGAATATCATTACCACCTTTAATCTTTTCTCGTAACTACACTGAATTAAATAGCAACTGTAACTATTCAAACTTATGTATGAAGGTTCGATTGTACAGCTTTTGAGGGATTAAGTTATCGGGAAGCTTACTTTCCTGAGCTTCTTGTTGATTTTTGATCTAACGTCCTTCTGATGGGTAATTTCCACGACTTAAAATTTATAATAATGTGTTTCGGTCTTCACTGTTAAAGAAATATCATATCAACAGAGCTGATGATAATTTAACTGGGAGAAGAACTCGTGTTTTATATCATCTCTATGGTACGATACATATGCATCATGTAAGTGTTAATGGCAATTGAAGCATCAACACTCTATATTCGTTATTTCAATCACTCACTCGTTCGCAGAATCACTATGTAGAACGCCAAACTTATATGAATAATTAATTGGTAATTAATATAAAATCTTCATGAAGCGTTATCATAAATGTATAATGCAAAAGAACAGCACAGATTCCTTGACACGCGAACTCAAACGAACACAAACATACACACACGAAGACGATTTCAGAACCAGTCAGCATCAGAAAAACAAGACAGACCATCACCACTCTTGCCTCCAAAGCCTCAGGATGGTCAGGGGTGGGTGCCTTGCGCTGCGGGTTAACCACCCCTCCACACACCTCTTGAAATGCTCCCATATGACCAGGCGTCTTACATTGCCTCTCCTGAGGAAGTCCTACTCACTGCCTTCACGTGGCGGAGGTGTTTTTCACCAAAGTGAGAGGGCGAAAGCGGATGCCCGGCGCTCTTCACCAGGTTGACTGTCCATTGGATGACAGTCTAGGGGAGATGGCTAAACCCTGATTCCAAACCTCCAACGACTGGCGTATGAAGCTCACTGGAACTCACCGACAGACGTATGGACAAAGGGCTTGTTGGATGTCCTGGATGTCTGGACCCATTCAAAAAGGCGTATGAACCGAACTCCGGTCACCGGCTGCCAATGGATAGTGGACTCTCTACTCCACTCCTACTGCCTTGTAGGTCACACCCGGTTGTGTAAAGGCTAGAGCTGCACTCTCAAACAAAAGGCCGAGTGGTTCTGGGGACATCACTCGTACCAAATTCCCATGGAATTTCATGAACTCTCTTACAAACGATTCGAGATGTTCATGAATCCGGCTCATCCTCCCGTAGGAGATAGCCGAAGTAAAGTAAAGTAAGTATCACCACTCTTCAATCAATTTGGAAATATTTTGAGCTGAACTCGGACACAGACAGCATAGACAACAAAATTCGGATTCTGTTCAACACGAATGTTAAGTCAGTCAGTCAGCCAGTCAGCCAGTTAGTGAGTTAGTCAGTGCTTGGCGTGTACATCAAGAAATGCATTTTTTGCAGGCTACTGAACACTTTTATGAACAGTTGCCTTCGTTGGTTCCATATGTAAGGTCAGATGGCCGATAGAAACAGTTAGCAATAAGAAACTAAGGGAATGATCCAATCAACAACCTATTGCTCAAAAAAGGTAGATACCTAGAAGAGAGTGGATAAGGACTGAACACTCACTAAGGAGACCATCGCGCGCCATGCCATCGCTCGAATGGAACCGGAATGGGTAACGACGAGTTTGGCATATGTCCAAGGGTGACATGAAGGAGATCTTGTGAAGAGAAGATGAAATCTTATGGGGGGCAATTATGGGATCAGCTAAAGAGGATTGCTAAGAGCAGATTGAAGTGGGATGTGCTGTCGAAGCCTTACATTCCAATCGGAACCAAAGAGAATACTACTATTAATAATAATAATAATAATAACAATAATAATAATAATAATATAAATTTTACAGAAAACTAAACACACTACCGAAGAATTTAATTCCTAAATTTTTATCTAGCATAATGCATCTACTTTTCTGTCTTTCCCATTCTTGTTTTTTTTTAATATTCCAATAATGTATTTGGATAGCAACATGAACTCTAGCAAATTTTTAACTGACTTTAAACCACCTACTGCTTTTCATTACAAGAGGATGACAAAAAAGTGTTGTACATGGACGACATGGTGTGTAATACGATATAATACTGTAGATGGATATTTCATCTGAAAATTCTGCACAGGGAATAAATGTTTTGCGAGAAATTGCTCTGACAATTCTGTATTGTGTATAAACAATTTTCAGACTAAGGCTATTTTATCAATATTAATGACATCGGCAATAACAATACTAATAATAATCCGTCATGTTTCTTGCAAAAGAAAACTACATCACAATTATGAGTGGTAATCATTTCAAGCTGTATGAGACACGTTCATCGATTGAATTTAATGATTGCCGAGATACTATAGTCAATCTATAACTACACCAACATATGTCATAGATTACAAGAGCTACCTCACAGGGGACAATTACTATTAGTAAAGATTTGGTCATGTACTCACACACACACACACACAGGAAGGAAAATAAGATTACTCGGATATTTATGATTACGAAATCTTTAGGAAGTAGACTGACACTATAACTGCTCTACACTCTTCTCAGAGTTATCGAGATTATTTTTATTTCGATAGAGAAAGAAAGACCAGATTTGCAGTATAAAGAAAGAAAGGCTTATATCCGGTTTTCAGAGCATATTCCGAGAAACTTATGCTTAAAAGGAACAAATATTTACAAAGTACAATTACCAGACACCTTGTGGATACGGGCCATTTTGTTGAGATTTCCAAATCCTTCAAAATATTAAACATACAAAGGACAGCGAATCTACTACGATATGCTGAAGCAATTGCAATCAAACGTCTCAGACCAAACTTATGCACACGGAAAGAGAGTGTAGTCAATCTCTCACTCCCTTGGTAAACATATCACTTTCATTACACTGATTACTCATACACACTAGTGAGTTCAACTCACTAAGCAAGTTTTCAAATTGATGAACTTTGACCTTGTTGAGTTGCCATGTTGACACTGTTTCTTAGATTTTTCTGTTTTCTGTCTTCTCTCACCCCCCCTTTTTTCTTCCTTTTTTCATAGATTGATAGTATATAAATTGACGGTAACTTAAACTACAAAAATTTTAATCCTTATATTCCGGATGCGTTTATCTTATGATGCTTTCTGTATTACCTTTCAAACAATGAAGTATGAAATGTTATTATTTATAACCATTGTAATTTCAGGTAGTTTGCAGCTGATGAGAACCTGTGAAATAGAGTGATATCATTTTATACTACAAATCTGGTCTTTCTTTCTCTATCGAAATTTATCAAGGGAACCAAATGTATGAAACTATTTTTATTATTATTAACTATGAGAAAGTTGAAGGAAACTAAAGAAAACCCCCTAGAACCATGACTAAAAAAATAAAATCTTGACTACTACAGCTCTGGATGGGTAGGTAGGTAGGTAAGTAGGTAGAAACTGTGTTTAAAACAGTGACCCACCGCCGCCGCCACCACCATATTATATGATATGAACAGTGAGCTATGCATGAAAATGAAACAGTTAGTATTCTATGCATAAAGCTTAATTTTATATAAGTTCCAATGTTTATTGAAAGCAGGTTCCTATTCCACTCGTGCACATTCTTTTAAATACTAACAAAAGAAAATTTAATCCACCGAAAAAAAAACTGAGCGGAAAACAAAAACATTCATTTTGTAACACATACTTTGGATATCACTTTTTGAAAACGAGTTAAAGCCAGAAGAATCACGAGAATTATTTGTAACAGCAGTGGTGGGAGTAGAAGCAGAATTATTTGTAGGTGTTCCACAGGTTAGTAGTATTGGGTCGGATGAAGATAATCCATTATTTCTTTGACTGACTTCTTCGGTCATATTCACATCACTAGAGTCTGTCATGTTTGTCTTCCACTGGTCAGCATTATTATCCTCTACAACACTATTCCATAATTCGAATAGTAGATCTGTAGTCATTGGTGAAGGTAACTGTTCTAGAGGGGCACTGTAATAGTTTAAAAGGAAACAAAAGTAAAGAACACTTTAAGACAATGGTAGTACGTTGTGTAATCCAACAAGGTTAAAATCAAGGTTAACCAACAAACAGCATAATTATTTCTCATTGGTAAACACGATCTATAATAATATTTACTGTGACAACTATCATTTCATTCATAAATCAGTACAGTGAACTCTTGAACAAAGAAAGAAAAAGCAGCTTTATGATCGAGAAGAAGACAATTTAACATGTAAAACACTAGTACCGAATAGGAGGCTAATTAACTGAATAAGGTTGACTGAAAATCCTGAGTAGTAGAGCTTTAAGAATGCATAAAAATCACTAAGTCGGTGGCGCAGCGGTAGAGTGCTCACCGACCACGTAGATGACCCGGGGTTTGATCCCGTGCCACCGACACACTCCTTTACCTCCCTAAGCCGGTAATAAGAATGGTAAAGAAAAAAGGTTGCGCATGAGGCTAGTAACCCCATCCCGCAAAAATAAACACTGCGAAAGAAACTTCAAGCCTCTAGCTTGAAGCCCTATGTTCCAGTGGGAATGTAAAGTAATAAAAAAAGTCTACGTGAAAACCAACACCTAATGGAAGACACTTATACATTTTGTGGAATATACACACATCAGATCTCATGAGGAAAACTAAAAAGACAGTTGCAGCGAAGGAAATCTTCTTTTCAACGAAGTTACCAACCAGGCTGTAAATTCCTGTATCTATAGTAAATGGGTGAGAAAGCTCAGGAACTATTTCGCGTTGAGGATCAAATCATAACGAATAACAAGATGAAAGGTTAAAAATTTATTACTATTATTATTATTGTTCCATTGGGTTCCTAGTGGAACATAGGGCTTCAACAACACGTCTCCACTTGTTTCTGTCTTCTGCTGTACTTTTCACTTGCATCCATGTTAGTTCATACTGTTTCAACTCCTCTTCACACGATCTCCTCCATGTCACCCACACTTGGACGTCCCACTCGCCGCTTCCATTTCGGGTTCCACTCGAGTGATGGCTTGACGCGCGATGTCACCCAGCGGCCTCCTCAGCGAGTGAGTGTCCAATCCATCTCCACTTTCTCCTGCATATTTGTTGGGCGATTGGTTCTTGTTTTGTTTCTTCCCATAGTTTCTTGTTGGTGATTCTTTCCGGCCATCTGATCTTCAGTATAGAGCCAGCGAAGACAGTTGTTGATAAAGGTGTGCAACAGGCTGTTGGAAATATTCTTTGTGACCCACTGGCCAAGTTTCTGATCCATCCGTATAGAAGAACTGACTGACTTGACGTTTGTATTGAAAATCCGAATTTTGTTGTTGATGTTGAGTAAACAGGAAGTCCAGATAAGAAGCATAATCGGATAACTATTGAGAAGACAGACTGTTTATGATGGACACGGTAAAGAAAAAGCTTGGACGTACTTCTCTTGATTATAGGATTTCATCATTGGCTGAAATCGGTTAGAGGACCATTGGAAAACCTGAGATCGAGTCTCAGTGGCCTAATGGACGACGAGCTCACCTTGTAACCGGAAGATCCTGGGTTTGCAATCCCGGTGGGTACGTACTACTGAAGAGTACCAGACTGGGACAACGCAAACAGATGTCCAGTACTGCCTGCAGGCTTTCTAATCGTGGTTCTCTAACCGATGATGAAATCCTGTAACCAATGAATCAAATCCCTGCAAACCAATACCTGAGTAATTCTTTTGAATACATAGCGTGGACTTGAATTGTTGCATCTGTAGCGCTTTAGATATACCCACATATCTTGATGTCACTCCGTTTGAGAGGTTTGATAGAATCTTGTATGAGACTTTAAAGGATTATTCAGAGAGAGCTGAGTGTTCAGAATGAGGCTAAAAAACGGATCTTGCCTTCAGGATAAAACTTGGGCATTGTGGTAGAGTATAATATGATATGATAATGAACAATAAAGTAGTGCTCGAAATGTTATCATTCAATATAACTGTCTAACACCCCGCTAGTCAGGCTGGATAGTGTTCCCGAGAGCGTTCTACAAGAGGATGAATGGTACAGCCAATGTACTCAGCTCCATTTCAGCAAGTGAAATGGTTAGTGAATTTTTATTCGGCCCAGTTCAACAACTTGTCTTTCATTTGCTGGCTGAATAGTTCCTTGGAGCAAATTGTTACTCGAAGACTAGAAGCTAAGTATGTCTTACTGAAAGATTTTGTTGTTATTAGATGGTTGGAGGTAATCGGCACACATCCGTTTCGTCCGGTTCTCTGCAATCCTCTTAACCTGGCTGTCTGCATGATTGCCCGTAAACTTTCATCTCCTCTTCACACAATCTCTTCCATGTCACCCTCGGACATATACCAAACTTTTCGTTTGTCACTCGTATTTCATTCGAGGTCCTGGCTTGCCATGTCACACAACCACCTCCTCAGTATGTATGTGTCCGATCCATCTCCATTCTCTTCTGCGTATTTGTTTATCACAATGCGTCCCTTGGTTTGTTCGTCCCAAGAGTTTCGTGTTGCTCATTCTTTCTGACCGGCCGGTCATTAGATATTCAGTATGAACGCAGTCAAGGCACTTGTTCATAAGTCTTCAGTGGTCTGCTGGAAATGCATTTCGTGATGCACACGCCAAGTTTCCGACTCATACAGAAGCACTGACTAACTAACTAACTAACTGACTCACTTAACATTGGTGTTGAGAATGCGAATCTTGTTCCTTATGCTGAGTGACAGCGGAAGATTTCCAAACTGGTTAGAGGTTGATGAAGGCGTGTGTATCTTACGTTTCCGATTCTGACTGGCTTTGACATCTTCGTCCACTCCGCCTGTAGTTGAAACGATGCTTCCTAGCCGGATAAGTGAAGGAGGCAACCTCTGTTAAATCTCTCCCGTCGATGGTGATTGGTGCTGGTTGCTGTTGAGTGGTTATCTTTATCACCTCCGTCTTCTCTATGTTCACCTAGAGTCCTGTTTTCGCTGCCTCTTCAGCCAGTTTGTTGCTTTTCGCCTGCGAGTCTTCGAGTTCGTCTGACATTAGACATAGATAATCCACGCGCGAAATCTAGATCCTCTAGAGTCTTATTGTCGATTGTGCAGCGTATTCCTGACACCTTGACCCCAACGGTCTGACGCATAATGATGTGATGTGACTAAGAACAAAGTTACACATACACGATCGTTTGATATCCCCTCTTCCCTCCACTGATCACAGAGTACTACGCACTCGGGATTAAGGAGAAAGAGGTTAGCTTATAGTAAGAAAATTGTGATCCAAATAGAAATCGTTCGTATTTTCATATATTAATAGAAAACATGATGTTCATGTATACAGGATTCTGAAGGGTTTACCAGTTCCCAAAATTCCACTTCTCACCCTCACCTCCATTTCGAAAAAGAGAAAAACATCACAACCGGATGAAGAAAAAGAAATGGAATGAAAAAATGCAACAATAGAAGATTGAAAATTAATTTTCCAAGTGAAAAGCACGTGCCAGGTTAATTTTCATGTATTTCCCTGCCATCTAATATTCACTACTGCATTGCAGGCATAACACCCCTTTTGTGCAGCACATCACATGTGGATTAACAAACAGTTTCAATGTTTCGGTAGAATTTCCACGTCGAATAAAGGCATAGAACACCTCGAGAGAAATTAAAGGAATTCTTTGTTAACCCATTCGAGGTGCGTGTTTTTTTCTCATACTTGTTTATGTACATACAGTACTTTAAAGCCTGAAAAGCCCAACTCATGAAATCCAATCGATAAAAATAAAGGGAATATTCAGTAGAAAAGCTGTGGCATTACTTTTTCTGTCTGTAAGTGTGAAAAAATATCATCACATATTTGTACTTAACATGAACATGAACGTGAACATTTTTCATAAAAACTGAAATTTTTCGCATTACTGCAATTATTGATTTGTTTCAGCAGTAGCAACAACAACAACAGTAACACATGGTAATAATACGTTTCTTCAATTACTGTTTATAGTAATCAAGTGATGCACGAATAGGCATAATTGTAACGCACCACCAATGCGCTGGTCAGCAAAAGACATGCGTTGTTTTACAAAGTCGTGTTCATGGTACGAAGCGGTGAAACGCTTGCCAACCACGCCCCTCACGTGGTTCAGGGTTCAATCTGCAACCACCGACGCACTCCTTTACCTCACTAAGCCAGTAATAAAACTGGTAAAGAGGGAAGGTTGGGTTGGGAATGAGGTTGGCAACCCCATCCCATACGAATTAACACCACTGCTAGTGAAACTTCAAAGTTCCACTGGGGGGGGGGGGGCGTAAAGGAACAAACAGAAAAAATCAAGGTTTATAAAGCAGGATTCAATGAATTCGTCAAATTTCTATAGAACTCTTGATTTGAATACTCTATATACGGGGATATATATATATATATATATATACTGTGGTGAGAGCTGGCTGTTAGCCAAAGTTGGTAGACAGTAATTTACGTGTCAATGTTTATGTCCCCAATATTGGTTATGAGAAAAATGAGAACAAAGACTTTGCGTAGGCGGATACAGTTAGCATATAGATCATCTGATCTGACATTCAAGAAACAGCCACAAAGAGATGAAGGATTAACTTTCAGCGAGAAAACAATCAATCAGAAGATGCTGTTTCTCTGCCAGTAATAACGAATAATAATGTACATAAAAATCTATAAATATCTCTTGATTTTCTCAATAAATGATCTGTTGCCCGGTCCTTGTCTTCTGTTGTTACATTTGGTGTCGCTGCCTACTGACAAATGGAAAGCCTATGGCCCGCAGTTTTTGATGGAGACATATGGATCTTCGCGCAGGACTTCGAGGCTTCTGAGCAGTTGAGTGGCGTTCAAGATCTGTCAGCGATGAAGCTGCTACTTGGGACGCCACTGGGAGGTCGGGAGAAAGCAGTATATGGAAGTGTGAGGCGAAATACCGACGAATGTGTGACAGGGTCAGGCAAACAGTTTCCAAAATGGGAAGGACCACATATGGTCACGTTGAGATGGGGTTACGCAGAAACAATCGCAATGGTAAACACAGAGAAACAGGTGAACATCTGCAAGCGCCGAGATTCCAGACAGCAAGACAAAAGAGCAAAGCCCCTAGAACCAAGAAGACCGAACCAACTTCAGTTGCAAGTCTTTGACGGGGGACGAGTGTGGTGAGAGCTGGCTGCTAGCCAAAGTTGGTAGACAGTAATTTACGTGTCAATGTTTATGTCCCCAATATTGGTTATGAGAAAAATGAGAACAAAGACTTTGCGTAGGCGGATACAATTAGCATATAGATCATCTGATCTGACATTCAAGAAACAGCCACAAAGAGATGAAAGATTAACTTTCAGTGAGAAACAACCAATCAGAAGACTGTTTTTCTGCTAACAATAATCTATAATAATGTACATGAAAATCTATAAATATGTGTTGATTTCCTTAATAAACGATCTGTTGCCTGGCCCTTGTCTTCTGTTGTTACAATACTACTCGAAATGCATTTTCGAATGTATTTCTACCGAAATTTGACGAATTCATTAAATCCGGTTTTATTAACCTTTGTTGCTTGTTTTAAATTCGTATCGGGAAATAAATATTTCCAATTGTTACTGTCTTCTGTGCAGCAGAGGAAATATGCAATTCAGAGATCAAATTAGTCAAATTAGAAGGAATGGATGGACTTAAATGAAGGTTCTTTTTAAAGTCCACATGTCTGAAGTGTAATACATGTAAGTATTACGTCCAATAGAAACATTCAGGTAAGAAGATTAAATATCTGTAGGAAAAATTATAGAAATGTCGTGGCCAACAATGTACTGGAAATAAATGAAATGTTACAACACACCTAAAGACTGGTCACTTACATCAAGCAGAAACAAAGTGTAGACAAACTTAGTGGGTCGAAATCAGTCTCAGTTAGACAAAATAAAAGGAATTATCTTTCACCGAATCTTGGTCAGATTAGAATCAACCTTCATCGAAAAATTTCCCTACTGCTCTCCAGTAATTTATTCTCTTTATCCTTGTCTGGGAACGAACCAACCCAGCAGGAACCAATTTTGCAACAAATATATCCAGGAAAAAATGGAGATGGATTGACCATACTCTAAGCAAACAAACCATCAAGCGACATCACATGCTCAAGTGGGACCCGAATGCGAGGTGGAGAGTTGGTCGTCAGTGAGAGGGTGACATAGAGGAGGTGATGTGAAGAGGAGATGAAAGTATGTGCGGAGATGTGGGGCCGGGTGAAGACGTTAGCGGAGAACCGAATGCAGTGGAGACGTGCAGTTGAAGCCCCATGTTCCGGTAGGAACCTGGCAACGTGGAATGACGGACTCTTGAATTCTAGAGCACTACCTTATTTGACTTATTTCAATTTCGACACATAGAGCGAGGAAGAGAGTCGAAGATGTTAGCTGTCGACAGCTTCATTCATTTGGCTTAATATGACATACACAGTCAGTCAGAACAATAAAAACTCACAAACGAAAAAACACTTCAACAACAACAAAGGAAAAAAAACCTGATTTGTTTTCACTTACTCATCATAAGTGTGTGTTTTTAAAAGACGAGAAACAGGAGAACTTTGAGAATCTGAAGAGTTTTGTTTCCCGGCGTTCAATTGACCACAGTTGAACAATATTTCCGTATGATCTGAATTTATACCTTCACCATTATTCTCATTAAAATCATTACAGGCGGTAACTTTGGCAAGTTCATTGTTTCCGTGGTCATCATACCTTGATTCAGGTGTCATTGGATAAGAATCCGAGTGACCAACAGTTGAATGTTGTTGCTGTTGTTGTTGTTGCATGGGTAGCGTAGTAGTAGTAGTAGTAGATGGAACATAACAAGGTGTATTGGAGATCGATTTTACAGGTAACGATGAACTTGTATTGAAAGATGCAGATTCTGTATTTGATGAGGATATACTGTTTGCCAAAGTTGAACCACCAAGGCGTCTTAGATACGAATTTAGCAAGTCTCTTTCAATTTTAAAATCTGAACTGTTTGATTCGTGACTGAAAGTAAAATATGTTTTTTTTAAATATCCTACATAAATACATATATACACATAAAGTATTAATATATATATATATATATATATACATATACGAAAAGTAAATGTTAAGGCCAGAAGAAAGTATCTACAATTTCTTTCGTGGTAAACATCCAAATGGAATCAAACATCAAACGAAGAAGAATTTAATTGGTGGATGGTGACTAGCAGTGGAATCCAATCCAGGATGCGCATTTCGTCCTATTTGGGACTCATCATCTAGATGTACCTGGATTTCCCAGTGATTGATGATGTTCCCACCGAAACTCGAACCTAGTGCCCATAGTTTCAAACGCCAAAGCGTTATCCACTAGACCACTTGGGCCACGAGAGCCACCTCTTGTGCAACGGGTTGTGCTAATTACTTAATTGAATTTTAGATTTTCCCGTTGATGGATTGGACCGAAGTGCTTGGTCTCAGGTTGACATGTTGGGTTCGAGCCTCAGTGAGAACACCATCACTCACTGGGAAATGCAGGTGCATCCAGATGACGAGTCCCAAATAGGACGAAATGCGCATCCTGGATTGGATTCCACTGCTAGTCACCATCCACCAATTAAATTCTAATTAAATCCCCAGACATCTGCACAAGAAGCCGACATGTCAAGCTGAGATCGAGCCCTTAGGTTCAATCAATCGACGGGAAAATCTAAAACTCAATCAAACGAATAATCCAAAATAAACAAAACAAGGAGGTTACTGTAGACTGACGGCTTAAGATACAATATTCAAACTGTGCATGTCAAATAAAATTGCCAGACACTTGCCTTCTTATCTTCTCATTACTTGAAGTCCCCAGTGGAACATAAGGATTCAAGCTACAGCTGTGAATTTTCAGTAGCAGTGGCATTAATTTGTATGGAATGGGGGTTGCTAGTCTCATTCCCTTTACAGCCAGGTATCGCCATAGTACCTCTCGGTTGACAGAATCGAATGCTACCCTCAGGTCAAGAAATATGACGATTGTTTGACGCCGGTAAGTGTTCCTATGTCCCAGAATCTGTCGAAAGGTGAAGATATGATCAATACACCCTCTTCATAGTCCAAAACCTGACTGGTTCTCTCGTGTTTATTCCTCCCGTGGACCGCTTAGTCTATGCATTATTATTGAGCCTAGAAGTTTGTATACCATATTGGTTAAGCTAATCCCTCTGTGATTATCACAGGAAGACTTGTCTCCCTTTTTGTATATCAGAATAATCAATGAATGAATGTACCTGCTGCTGTGGAGCCAGGTACATCGGTCGTTCGACGCGCATCCTGTCCAAGAGGATTCAAAAACACTATCCAGCATGGTTGCGAAAAGGCAATAGTGGTGCAAAAAGGAGTGCGATAATTGAACATCTGGTTAACACTAATCATTCCATTTCAACAAACGCCTCCTTCAAAGTAATCTACAGAGTCAAGAATAACCTATCAAATGCAATATTGTTTCGCCTTCTTTGTATCGCTGAAGCTCTGGCCATTCACACAGAAAAACCGGAGCTGTGCATACAAAAGAGGATTACTCAACCACTTCTACTGTCTTGGTATCAACTTTTTTGATTTGATTTAATTTTTTTGATGACTTAATTTTGTTTCTTTGCCTGTTCCTTTAATTGCTTATAATTCTTGTATTCATTTAGAACTCTTACGTAATTTCGCATTATCTACTTTGTTCCTATGTGCATTCTGAGTAAAACTCACTCATCAAACTATTCATATTATCACATAACTTCTTTTAACAACTGTTTGTGACAACTCATCACCTTTGTTACTACCCTAATTTCACTGAAACCTAATTTTCTTGACTGATTTTGTATTACGTAACTCCAATTACCAATCTTCACCTGTTTAGTTTAAATAACTATAATCAGTTGTATTTTTGTTTGACAAACTTATTGTACACAAACATACAAAATAACGTATACATATATATTTGCGATTGTACAGCTAAGAAAATGAATTCGCCGCCGAAAAGAGACTCTTCGCTGATCTACGTGTTTTGTTTTCATTAATGCCTGGATGGGGATTATACACGAATAAATAATTTCGCTCTAGTTTCCTTTTAACTTTAAAAAAATTATCCATATTTTTTAAAGACTGAAAGTCAATCAACTAGGGTATGAAGAATAGAAAAATTCGATAGCACCATGCTAACACAAGTTGAAAAATACAACAACTAATTAAAGTAAAGGAAGTCACGCCTTTCACTTACCTATAAGAGAGAGGAAGTATCGTTTCAACTTCCAGGTGGCATCACTATTCATTAACATCATATCTACTTACTTTCATGTCAGTTTTACTTCAATGTGAAAAGGTTAAACTGATCACAGTTTATGTGAAAAGTTCTACGTTGATTAAATAATTAATTAATTGGTTGATTGGTTAACCTTCAGCTCTTTCAAATGTTATCTACTAGCTGAGTTAGTTATAATTAAGGTCCTGAAGTCCTCTTTCTTTCTTGTGAACGAACATTTCCACTAACAATCGAAACACATCTTCTTCAACAAAAAACAAAATACACGTTCCATCGCGTACAATTTCACTTCTTTCATTTAGTAGGCCGGATACTTTGAATTGGCAAGTATTGTAAGGAGAGTTCACAAAATATGAATCAGTCAGTCAGGCACAGATACAGAGGGCTAGTTTCGCATATGCCAGTTTACACCATCTCTGGAGTAGACCTGATATTAGGCTGGCTATCGAACGAAGGGAGAGTGTACTGCTCATCAGTCCGCTCCGTCCTCCTTTATGGCTGTGAGTGACACATGGCCATTGAGAGTGGAAGATATGAAATGGCCGGCTAGCTGTCTTTGATCATAGGTGCCTGCGTTCTATCTCCCGTGTGAAGTGGCATAATAAGATGAGCAATATTGAGGTTAGGCGTCGAGTGCTAGGTAAGGAGGGGAAATCAATCGACGAGGCTGTGAAATTACATCGACTGAGATGGTTAGGACATGTGTTACGTGTGCCTAGTCATCGCCTTCCTCGACTGACAGGCAATGTTAGCTGATATAGGGCCAGGCTGGAAAAGAGCTAGTGGCGGTCAAACCAAAACATGGCTTTACTAGTCAATGAAATCTACAACAGCTAGTCTAGGCCACGTAGGAAGGTGTAGATTTCCTGACTGGTTGGGGTCCTTGTGACAGTAAAAACCAATGGCTTGAGACAATTGGTGACATGGCTCAAAATCGTTCTCAATGGCTGGCGCAGATGCATCTACTCCTTGTGACTTATAATTTCCAATGAAACTATATTGTTCTTCGTTATTACTATTCCTTTTGTCTCATATCCCTTTCTACAGTCTCCTTTTCCTCTTTACTTTCTTTTCTTGCTTTGTGTGCTACAAGGTTGTGTGGCGACTTGAACTGCTGCACATCGGTGCAAAGTTCTATGTCGAAAACAGACCAGACCAGACCAGAGAGTCAGTTAGTCAGTGAGTCCATTGGAATGGCAGTTAAAATCAGTGGACTGTTGTCAGCTAGAGTTTGTATTGCTATCAATAATAATACAGCATGTTGATACAAAATAGTTACATAATCTAAAAACAGGCATAAAGTGAACCCCGTAGTTTCATTACAATAAAGTCAATCAGATGAACATATACAACACAACACACACATACATACATTTGTTGTCTACATACTCGAACTCGTTATCTGAAAACTGAACAATTTGAGTTGGAACTGTAACACAGTTCACTTTGGAAATCCTAAAATATTCTCAAATGACAATATGCGCTCTCATGAATACTACAAAATGGCGATCAGAGAGAACACAGGCAAAAGACAAAGACGATGCACACATACACACATACATTCTACTGATTGGTGTTAGTGGTTGGCAATCACTCGTATCAGGCAGTAGTGCTTATTAGTCAAGATCACAGAGATCAAAATACCGGACAGTAGTCACTTTGCTTATCTACAACCGAACTCACACCAACGGTATATTCGCGGCTACACCCACACTTTAGAAGAACGAATCAGTTCTGAATAGTGCTCAGAAAATTGCGCTTATATAGTTTTTACACAGGCAGTTCAAATTTAAACAAAGTTTAGTCATCTATACAACATAAAATAACCGAGTAGAAAATATCCTTTTCGATAGTCTCCTCTTCTAGCTCTACAATTATATACATGTATGTTTATACACATAGAATATTCTAGAATAGTAGTCAATAACAACATTAGTGTTTTTTAAATAACAATATCGATTTGTAAAGTAAGATCACAATGGAATTACAGTTCGTTAAAAATGCTTAAACTACAATAATAATGGAGACATAGTAGCGAATAGAATATCAAATAAAATTAGGAAAATTCCACAAAAATTCCGGATTATTCAAACCTGGATGGCCAAGGTAATGATAATGTCTGAACTAACTTCTTTTGGATGCTTAAATTAGGCTCATTAATATGGATCCCACAGCCAGCCTCAGCAATATTTATTAAAGGACAAACAAAATCTATTCGTGGCGCCATACCGAACACAAGATTGACGTTAACCAGGCAGCATACCAGCAAATCTTTACTTCGCCTTAAGAGTTCGATTACTAAACATTGCTGAGGCTGGCTGTGGGATCCATATTAATAAGCCTAATTTATGCATCCAAAAGAAGTTAGTTCAGACATTATCATTACTTTTGCCATCCAGGTTTGAATGATCCTGAATTCTTGTGGAATTTTCCTAATTTTATTTGATATTCTATTTGCTATTGTATCATTATTATTATTATAATTTAAGCATCTTCAATGAACTGTAATTCCATTGTGATCTTACTTTACAAATCGATATTATTATTTAAAAAACACTAATGTTGTTATTGACTACTACTACATGCATTTATAATTGTAGAGCCAGAAGAGGAGGAAATCATCGAAAAGGATATTCTTTGCTCAACTATTTTGTGTTTTATAGAGGTCTAGATGAATATTTTTGCAACAAAAATCTAATCAATAGAGATGTAAATTAATAAC